GGTGGAACTGGCTGTGGACATTTCTTAAAATGAGACACCACTAAAATTGTCTGCATTCGTTGACTTCCTTTCATGAGTGATTTCTCTGAAACTTGCAATGATGTTTCATGGCATTTTTACCCTCAGGGGAACTTCTTGAAAAATTGGAGTCAAACCTTGCTGCTGCTTTATCAACCAAGTTTATGTAATATTTTACATCATTTGCTATCATTTCAACAGCGTTCACAGCATCTTCACCAGGAGTGGATTCCATCTCAAGACACCATGATGTGTCTAGGCACTAGGAATCTTTCAGCTCCTTGTCATCTCATGGGGCCACCATCATAAGGTGCAACTATGTGCACTCCATAGTTGATAGAAATGCTCTCATGTGGCATGTGACTGTGTATATGAACTCATAGATAGTGATTGTTACAGTTTGGATTTGGAATGTTCCCCACGCTCATGAATTGAAGGCTTGGTTCTCGATGTAGTCATGTTTAGAAGTGGGGCTTTGGAGAAGTGACTAGATCATGAGGACTCTGATCTTATTGGTGGATTTCCCATTGATAGGTTCATAATTAAATGATCTATTGGGATCTGTGGGGAACTGTGGAAGTGGAACCTAGTTGACTGGAGCTGGTCCTTGGGGGCATATCCTTGGGGGCTATACTTTGTCCCTGGCTACTGCTCTTCCTTCTGCTCCACTATCTGGCTACCATGATTCGTGGTGCTAGGACAGAGGAACATGAACAAAGTAGCCTTGTATCAGGGCTTTATGATACACATGGGTCAAGTGGCAAGAGCTCTTACTCACCATGATTGACATACTTGACTGTCCAGCCTGCTAGTCACCAAGGCCAACACTGAGCCCCTGCTGTGGCCTCATTCATCAAGGAGACTAGCTAGCTCGTTAGTGGAAAATATGCATTTGATTGCATTGTACTCACTCTACCCTGAAAATGTCCACGACTCATCTTAACTGGTATAGACATACTTTGAAGAATGAATTTGACATTTCTGTTTCTAGCACCTCGGCTAGCACCACTATCTCCGAGCTTATAGAATGTCCATTGGCATGACATCACTATAGAGTAACAGACATACTACAGCAAATAAGGTACACCACAGGGTGTACGACCATGGGATCTGCTGATCCTGTAAGTACCAACATTTTTCCAGAAGATCCTGGCCAGATAGAAGAGTGGACGGCCTGCTGGAGGCATAGTCGATGCACCAGCTTGGAAAGAACACGCCACAAGAATGAAGGGCCATCTTCCAGGATTCAATAGACACCCCGAACCAACCAACATACGGTGTTGTGTCCCTGGTAGGTAAAAATTCATGGATCTACATATGAGAGGGGGAAATAGGAGTGACCTCACTTACCATCACTTCTAGAGACCCCAGCTGGGAGAAATTTATGTTTCATATTCATGAAAATTAGAGCCGTATGGGTTTGGAAGTTTGGGTTCTCAGGGGAAGAGTGCTTCCAACTGGGTTTCTAGTGTATTTATTCAGCCTCAAGCCATGGCTGCACTCCATCTCTTAAAATTTGCAGGCCAAGAGACCCAAAGGCAAGAAGAGAAAGGCACCAGTTTGAGGGGGAGGTGGTAATAGGCCCTCGTCATCAGGAGAAGATGCAGCTGTTATTGCTTACTGAATATGATTGGCAGGTAGGTCACCCATTTGCCTGTCTCTCTGGTATCCCCCTTACCCATTCTTGATGGCAAATGGACAAGAACAGCAGCCACAGCCTGGTCTTCAGAAGGGTGTGAAGGGAGAGGGGCTCAGCACTGAGGGATGAGGGTCCACTTCAACCCTGAAGGGAAGCCATCTAGACCAGCAGATGTGTTGGCTGAGGACAAGGGGGAGATCTAGAATTAGGGCCCAAGGAGCGGGTGATAAGAATCATTTGTGGCCTCAAGACCAGCTGTAGCAGTTGGAAGGGGGGGGCACTGCAGCTCACCCCACTAACCTTTGTCTTGCAAATTTCCTGAGAAAAACAAGTTTTATTAAAAAGATTATTGAAGTTTTCCAGAACTTATTGTATAAGCAAAGAGGTTCCCGCAGTGCAAGGGGAGGGTTGTTATGGAGTCTGCGGTGTGCTGACCAGATTTTCCTCTCCCAGGACTGAAGTGTTCCTCAGCTGAACAGAGCCATCTCATCCAGGGTTGTGCCCTGATGCAGGAGTGACCTGCAGCCAAGACTGGTTGAGATGGGGGGTATAAGCGCCCTGTCCCTTTGCCACATCTGGGTTATCCCAATTCTGAAGCTCCCTGTGGAATTGGCTGGGGCCTAGGCTGTGACTTCAGCATGACATCAATTCTTTGTCTGCTCATTCTTGCTTTCCCCATTCTCGAACACACTCTGCCCGAGTTGGCTTCTCAGGGAGACCAGTTGGTGACATTCGTGGATCCTGATTGGGGTCTGTGCACCATAAGAAGGCTCAATCACTTCCATTTCCTTGTACCTGCAGTTTCATACTCCAGTGACAGGAGGAAATGCTACTCTCAGTTGCAGGTGAATTGGGTTCAGCATTTCTTGAGAGTGATCTTGGCATGGGGGACATAAGCAAATTCTGTTCAGTCCTTTATAAATGGAGGGCAGCTCTCTCCTCCTTCTTGACATCTTCTTTAAGATTTGTCTGGGGGGCTGGGGATGTGGCTCAAGCGGTAGCGAGCTCGCCTGGCATGCGTGCAGCCCGGGTTCAATCCTCAGCACCACATACCAACAAAGATGTTGTGTCCGCCGAGAACTTAAAAATAAATATTAAAAATTCTCTCTCTCTCTCTCTCTCTCT